CCATTGTCATAGGGCAACATGTGTACTAACTGTTAAATGAGAAACTATTTTGTTCTGTTAGCCTTCATCTAAAGTGAGAATAGCAGCACAATTGGAAGAGCATGGTCGATGTCACTGAACTGTGCATGTAGAAATTTTTGAAATGGTGTGTCTTTGGCTATGTATATTTTCACCAAAAAAAGAGGGGGTCAAGAAGGGAGAGGGTTGACATGTTGTGGGTTTGTTGATCAATATCATAGAGCAATATGTGTACTACTGTTTCATGAGAAACTATTTGTTCTGTAGGCCTTCACCTGAAGTACAATTTAAAAAGTAAAAAAAAAAAAGATCTATCACACTGCCGTCTTCCTTATTCATTGTCCAGCTTTCACATGCATATGAGGTGACTGAAAATACCATGGCTTGGGTCAGGCGCACCTTAGTCCTCAAAGTGACGTCTTTGCTTTTTAACACTTTAAAGAGTTGTTGTAAGAGTTATGTTGTAGTATCACTAGTTTTGATTTGTCTCCCTAACTACTCAAGAAACTATGTCTTCTTACGTGTCTGTTGTATGCCCTAGCATATAGCCCAGCAGTAAACATGGAGCGCATCTCAATAAGAACTTGCAAGATGTAAGCAAATTAGATTTTAGCTACTGCCCCACCCCCCCCGCCTGGTTTCCCTGATCCCACTCTGATTTATTTTGGTCTTATGTATCTTTCTTTAAAGATGTTTAGGGCAGGGCCTTGGGTCTTTCGTAGATCAGGTACAGGGATCTAATTAGAAAGGCCATTCCTTGTTGGAATGAGTTCTGATTTAGTGAACTCTGATTTTGTTCCAGCCAAAGAGGAATTTAGTGCTGCACCCCTCTGCCGAGCCAAACCCTCCCCCAGCTATATTCATCTTCAGGCAAGTTCCCAAGCAGACACTTTCTCGAACATCCAGACACCAAAGCTACCCTCAGGTGAGGATGCCGGGAGGGTTTCCAAAATGGACTCAGCAGTGGGAAGGGGTGGCGTGGAGGGAGGTGACCTGGGCTTTCTCCTGTTGGTCTCGTTGCCAGCTCTGTGCCAAGGCACCTCCAGATTTTTCATTGGCAGCTTGTTGATTGTTCAGTTCTTTCAATTTCCATTTTCTTCCTGGGTCTACCAATTTCTTATTATTTTGTTGTTTATTAACACCTTTGCTAGGCTAAACAGAAGTGAAATGAAAATCTTAATGCTTGCTACCCATTGTCGTTGAGTCGATTCCAACTCATAGCAACCCTATAGGGCAGGGTAGAACTGCCCCATAGAGTTTCCAAGGAGCATCTGGTGGATTCGAACTGCCGACCTTTCTGGTTAGCAGCCATAGCACTTAACCACTACACCACCAGGGTTTCCTAATGCTTGCTAACAACGTTCATGAAAGGTGGTCAGGGAAGGAAATAATGATTATTAGCTCAGACTCAGTTTCTTTGAATTTCAGTTATTCATCCTTCCCTTGGGGAATTCATTGGGTATTTAGCATCCCTGTGGGGAGCTCAACAGGGCCCTAATCAGTCACAACCCCTGTTTTTGAGGACCTCAGGATCTAACAAAGAGGTTAGAACCAGTAAATATACAGACAAGAGCTAATTACCAAGGCTAACTAAGAGCTGGCTATGCATAATGTGTTTGAAAACATTAGAAAAAACGGTCTGATGCAGCAAGAATAGTTGAAGTTAGACAACAAGAAGAACTTAGGTCACTGCTAATGAGACACTCTGTTTACCTACAAGAAAGAAAAGCTGAGGTATCTCCTGCATTCTTAAGAGGGAGGTTAGGCCTCACTCCCAGACCATTTCATTCACTCATCAAATATTTATTGAACACTTATATGTGCCAGGCACTCTTCTAGGTGCTGGGGATACAGCAGGGAACAAAGACAAAAATCTCTGCCTTTCTGGAGCTTATATCCTAGAAAGGTTGACTTAGAAAAAAAGTAAATAAGTAATTACAAAATATGTCATATGATTCTAACTATTACGGGAAAAATAAAGCAACGGAGAAGGGTAATAAGGTCCAGTGATTGGTTTCAGATTCAAATAGGGTGGCCAGGTAGGCCTCACTAAGAAGGTGACAGACAGCTCAGCAAAGGTATGTCTGGGTTGGCTTGTGCCTGGAGAGATTAGAGGGGTCATTTTATTATAGCCCTTCCAATCTCAGTACAATTACGAGGTCTCTCCCCTTTGCACCTCCATTGCTCTTCCTTCAGGAGTTAACCACAAGCCCAAGGAATGCATAGGACTCCTAGAATGTATGTATGCCAACCTCCGGATTCAGACCCAGCTTGCCCAACAACAGATGGCCATTCTGGAAAATTTACAAGCGTCCATGACACAACTGGTTCCTGGGAGAGAAAGCAAGACCTCTCTCCCAGCTGTGTCTCGTAATCTGTTCTTAAATCACCTGCCCCATTTCAGTAAATGAATTGTGGAACAAAGTTATTGTATATACTGCTCCCTCTCTCTTCCCAGTAAACCCTTGGTGGAATCTGGGCATATATTCTACATGTGGTTAGTTTATTCACAAGTTCACTGTAAGTGCTCATTAAGTGCAAAGCATTATACGAGGCACTTGGGGATACATGTTACAGAAGAGACAGTTGTGGGGGATTTACTGTCTAACAAAGCAGATAAAACAGATAATTCACTGCAAAATTTAGTGGTGCTCTGAGGCGGAATGAGAGTTCAGAAAGAACATTGGAGGTCTGTGAGATACAACTGGACCAGTCTTCGGATCTTGCTGGAGGAAGTAGCTTTATGATGATATTTGAAGAAGAGGGGGATTGGTTGGTATGGACAAATGGAGTCAAGTAGTTACCTGTCAGGTGGAAAGCTTGGACAAAGACCTAGAAGTAGGAGAATAAGCCATCAGAAATGAGGGGAACAGAGAAATGATGGCAGCTTTCCCCACACCAGAATATGGGGCAGGAGGAGGGATGAGGTAGAATGGAGGAAGAGCTGAAAACAAACAGGGCAGCTCTCCCTGGAGACTATCTCTGATAGCAACTATCGGAAGCTCTGATTTTATTGGAAGCACTGGAGAGCCACTGGCAGCTTGCAAGTAGCAGTGAAGTACACGTAAGAGTGGAAACACCATGGGCAGAACATTTTTGGGTGGAGAGAGACTGAAAGCTGAGAGGCCTGCATAAAGTAATGACAGTAATCTGATGTAAAATTACCATGGTCTGAATAAAGAATTTAGAAATGGAGACAGGGGATGGGTAAATCTGAGCAGAGATGGAGGAATCTTGAGCTTGAAACACCAAGAGTCAGCAGTCTTTAAGTTGGGAAGTCAGTTTAGTTTTAATGAGGGTCAGGTCCAGCCCTAAGTTTTCAGTATTTGAAAAGGAGACAGCTGAGGTTGGCTTAGCCATTTGAGCCACATTAGGTCATCACTTTCTCTGACAGGTTTATTGGCAAATTACTCTTGAGACTGGGTCCTATTTCCACAGACCAAGTTAGGCCTTGTTTTCCTGTGGAATGAGGAGAAGATGACAGGAGAGTTAGGCTTGAGTACGAGGTGAGGAGGAAGTGAGAAAGCAGTGATTGGGAGGAGGACTTCAAACTGGCCTTCAGCTCTGAAGGTTTTTCAGAGACCTGCTTATTCTGTACCGTTAAAAAGGACAGAGCAACAAATAGGCTGACAGTGAAGCTTGAGGAATTGGAGCCTGGCAGTCAGGAAGAAATTCTGATTAGGCTGTTGCCCATAGAGAAAGAGAAGGAGGTTATTAAAATAATTTTCAAGGAGGGAGACTCTCATGTGTGGGCTAGTTTGGATGCAAGAGGAAGGGTGAGATATCTGGAAGTTTGTTTCAGTCTCATCGTTTCATCATTCTCATCAAAACACAATTTTTGAATAAAATCTGAACTAGGCCTCCTCTTCCTTTGGCTAGTGATTTCTTCATTCACATTTAAATGTAAAAAGTCATGCTTACTGAAAATGCCTAGACAGTGACCAACTCAACAGTAACAAATACCCTTGGTACTCAGATTATGGTGTCTAACTATCATTTTTCAATAAAAGGAAGTAGAGATCCTTGAAGAAATGGCTGTTTGCAGCTCTCAGGCAGGAAAAATACAAAATGTGCCTAGAATATATCCTGTTAGATAGGAGTACTGTCAGAGCTGTCAAAGCCTGCTAGGATTATATCCAAAGAACTCAGGAGTTAACCCAAATAAGGCATGCTTTAAGTATAAAGACACATTTGGGTGAAAGTAAATGCATGGAAGAAGATACCATGGGAATAGTAAAAGAAGAAAGCTGGAGTGGCTGTATCAGATAAAACTGACTTCAAGACAAATCGTCCTGCCACAGATAAAGAGGGACATCTCATAACAATCAAAAGGGTAGGATAAACTCTTATATTAATGTTGTGTGCTGTTGAGTTGATTCTGACTCATAGCGACCCTATAGGACAGAGTAGAACTGCCCTATAGGGTTTCCTAGGCTGAAATTTTTACAGGAGCAGATCACCAGGTCTTTTCTTCCAAGGAGCCACTGGTGGGTTCTAACTGTCGACCTTTTAGTTAGCAGCTGAGTGCTTAACCATTGTGCCACGGGGCTTTATATTCATAGAATGGGATAACATTCAGCAATAAAAAGGAACAAGCTATTGATACATGCAGCAACATGATTCAGTCTCAAAAATGTTAAGCTGAGTGAAGTAAGCCTTACACAAAAGAGCACACCTTGTATCAGTCCATTTACTTGAAGCTCTACAACAAGCAATATTAATCTATGGTGGAAAAAACCTAAAAACAACGGTTGTCTCTTGGCATGGGGTGGGAGTGGAGACTGGGAAGGTACAGAGAACTTTCTAGGGTGATCTATATCTTGATACAGGGGTTTGGATTACACAAGTATATGCATGCATTTGTCAAAATTCATCAGATGGTACACTTAAGAGTTGTACATTTGACTGGATGTAAATTTTACAAAAAAAAACTATAAGCAAATACTGAACTCTAGTTAATAATATGCCTAGAGAAATGTTTAGGGGTAAAGTATACTGATGTCTCCAACTTGGTATAATGCATCAAAAAATAAGATGTGTTACTGGATAGATGGAGGGATTGACAGTTTCATGACAAAACAAAGAGAATAAAATATTAACCATAGAATTTTGTTAGTGGGTATACATGAGTTTTTACAGGAAAAAATTAGACTTGTCTGTATGCTTGAAATTTTTTATATGAAAAACGCTGAGAACAAGAGTCCTTTAAAGATACAGAAACATACACAGAAGATGTCTTGGGTTTGCCTCAAAATAACCTGGGTGGAAGGGAATGGGCTGGGGTATGGATGAAATAAAATTGGTCATATATGGCTACTTAAGGTCCCGGGGTTGCACAAACGGTTTGTGCTGAGCTACTAACCAAAAAGTTGGTGGTTTGAACCCACCCAGTGGCACCTTGGAGGAAAGGTGTGACGATCTATTTGTAAAAAGATTATAGCCAAGAGGTGGGGCCAAGATGGCGGAGTAGTTAGATGCTTCTGGTAGACCCTTTTACAACAAAGACCCAAAAAAACAAGTCTATCGATTATATATGGCAATCTGGGAGCCCTGAACAGGGCAGAGTTGAGGAACTGGACTGAGTGGCAGGGGGAGGGAGACAGTTTGGAAGCAACGAGGATTTGCCAGACCTGACCTGGTGAGAGCCTGAGCCCTTCAGGCCTGATCAGCTCGGGGGTGAGTGGTGAGGCAGGCAAGCGGCGGTGCTCGGGAGGCACGTTTTCCACACTGGGAGAGACCCAGCGCCAGAGAGTCTACACGGCCACCCAGAATCAGTGAGAAGCAGCCCTGGATCAGCGAAAGATAAGTACTTGCGTACAGCCTACTGCGCGGATCAAAAACACCCCTCTTAGGGAAAAACCTCTCTCCCATTTACCTCCCTGCTCCCTGCTCTGTACTGGGTCCCGGACTGGTGTCAGCAATCGCTGAGTTCCCTGGGCCAGAAGTAGGATCTGTCACATGCCCGGAGCCGTTCTCCCTGCCTTGGAGAGTTAACAAATTAACAAACAAGGGAAAAAATAAACTACCAGCTCCCCTAAGCCAGGAACCCAGGGTAGGCACAGCTCCTTTGCCTCGGCACAGGCATAAGGGTTCCATGGACTTTGAGTGCCTTTCCCCCTGCATAGACTTGGGTGGGCCCATCTCAACAGCGTAGGCCCTCATTACCTCAGTACAACACGGTATATACCGGAAGTCTAACTTCAACTGTTTCAGCTGTGAAGTGGCAGGTTCTTGACATTTGACACTGCTCTGCCCATTAAGCAGGGTCTTCACCTACCCACATCAGGGGCCTGAGGACTGGTGGCTCCATCCACACCACCTAGCCACCTGCAATAGGGGCCCATGAATAAGAGGTGCCCCTGAGTCCTTACAGCCAACAGCATTAGGTGCTCACAGTCCAGCTGCAAAGTCCAGCCACCTGCGCGCTGTAGGGAACAGGGACAAACCTTCCTCCTGGACACGCAGGGGCGGCCGTCAGCCTCCTGCCTTGCTCAGAGCACATCCCCCCGCTGCAGCCAGATGCCTGTACCTGCACCAATCACCCATGCCTGTCTAGGACTGTAAGTGAGAGCCTGCACCACACGCTTGGTGGCTATGTACCTGGGCACCTGAGCTGAATCCATACAGGAGGAGCGGGCGGACTCCTGAGCTCACATATGTAGTAACAGATCTAATCACCCAGTGACAGGACATTAGAGCTTCAAAGGTGCCAATAATCAAGCTAGCTCATACGAGCAGCCTATTTGGACATATCAAGACAAAACAAGAAGCTAGGACACAGTAAGCAAACAAAATAAATAAAATAACTTATTGATGACTCGGAAACAACTGTCAATATCAAATCACATAAAGAGGCAATCCACGATGACTTCAACAAGCTCCCAAAATAAAGAATCTAGAAATTTTCCAGAGGAGGAAAATTTCTTGGAATTACCGGAGGTAGAATACAAAAGACTAATACACAGGACTCTTCAAGAAGTTAGGAAGGAAATTAAGCAAAATGCAGAACACACAATAGAGGAAATTAAAAAGATTAGAGAAGGGCATTATAACAAATTTAACAGGCTGCAAAAATCTGTAGACAGCAATCAGATATCCAGAAGATTAACGATAAAATTTCAGAATTAGACAACTCAATAGAAAGTCATAGGAGCAGAATTGAGGCAATGGAAGTCAGAATTAGTGAGATTGAAGATAAAGCACTTAACACCAACTTATTTGAGAAAAAATCAGATAAAATGATTAAAAAATGAAGAAACTCTAAGAATTATGAGGGACTCTATCAAGAAGAATAACCTATGAGTGATTGGGGTACCAGAACCGGGGTGGGGGGAATAATAGAAAATACAGAATTGTTGAAGATTTGTTGGCAGAAAACTTCCCTGATATCGTGAAAGATGACAAGATATCT